TGGGACCACAATGTCTTCCTGGAAATCCTGCGATTTTGCAATCTTACAGGGATGCCAGTTCTCCCACCTGGTACATTTCTTTCCCATGCGGGCTGGAGACCAGGAGGCTAAATGTCCTAACTCACATCCTACAGCTGTAAATAAATAAATAAACTCTTAGAAGTGAAAGCCTCCTCACAACACCATCTGTCCAGAATGAGCTATGTGCAGCTACCAAACTGTAAGCACAAGGTTTATTGCTACCATCCAAAGTTCCATGTCTATTCCATACTGTGAATTCATAGCCCATTTTTCAAGCAGGTAGTAATCTCTCTCTCTCTGCTATTGTAAAAAAATGCTACAGGGAACATGAGGATGCATATATTATATCTTTTAGAACTAGTGTTTCATTTTCTTTGGATGAATACGCAGATGTGGAGTTGCTAAGTGATATGGTAGTTCTATTTTTAATATTTTGCGGAAGCTCAGTACTGTTATCCATAATGGATGCATCAATTTATGTTCCCACCAACAATTCATAAAGGTTTCCTTTTCTCCACATCCTTGTCAACATTTACTTCCAGAGTTTTTTCTTTTTAATTTAAATTCTTTACTGTTTAAAGTATTATATGTCGTATTTTCCCCCCATTGACCTTCTTCCTGGCTGCCCCCACTCCCCACACATGCCCTCACATGCCTTGGTTATGCTCATGTGCATGCATACAAGTCCTTTGTTGATCTCTTACCCCCTAATTCACCCCCCCAGCCCTACCTTTCTTCATAGGTTGGACAGTCTTTTCAATGCTTCTATGACCTTGCTTCTATTTTTGTTCAGCAGTGTATGTTGTTCATTATATTCCATAAATGAGTGAGATCATATGATATTTATCTTTCTCTGACTGGCTTATTTCACTTAGCACAATGCTCTCCAGGTCCATCTATGCTGTTGCAAATGGTAAAATTTTCTTCTTTTTTACAGCAGTGTAGAATTCCATTGTGTAGATGTACCATAGTTTTTTAATCCACTCATCTGTTGATGGGCACTTAGGCTGTTTCCAAATCTTAGCTATTATGCTATGAACATAGGGGTGCATATATCTTTTCTGATTGATGTTTCTGTTTAGTTGGGATATATTCCTAGAAGTGGGATCACTGGAAGTTCCATTTTTAACTTTTTGAAGAAACTCCATACTGTTCTCCACAGTGGCTGCACCAGTCTGCATTCCCACCAGCAGTGCATGAGGGTTCCTTTTTCTCTGCATTACAGAGTTTTTACCATTCTAACAGGTGGAATGTGATATCTCATTGTGGTTTTGATATTCATTTGCCTACTGAGTAGTGGTTCAGAACACCTTTTTATGTGCCTGTTGGACATCTGTGTGTCTTCTTTGGGGAAATGTCTGCTCAGATTTTCTGCCCATTTAGGAATCAGATTGCTTATTAGTTTGTTGCTATTGTTATATGAGTTCTTCATATATTTTGCGTATTAGCCCCTTATCCGATATGATTTATATATTTTTTCTTTCATTTACTGGTTGGCCTTTTCATTTTGTTGATGGTTTCCTTTGATGTGAAGAAACTTTTCAGTTTGACATAGTCAAACTGTGTATTTTTTGCTTTAGTTGCTTTTGTTTTTCGTGTCATATTAAAAAATGATTGCTAAGACCTCTGTCAAGGACTTTACCACTTTTGTTTTCTTCTAGGAAGGAGTTTTATGGTTCCAGGTCTTTTGTTCCATTTTAAGTTAGTTTTTATGTATGTTAGAAGGTGAATTCATGAACTATTTTCAGTCTTAGACTAAGAGCCTTGCTTTTCATCTTCTAATGGAGCTTTAAACAAGAAAAAAACAGGTCACGTTGTGTGTCTCATGTACTCATTGCAAAAATAAAATCCTGGCCCTTCCTTGCTGGATGCCTTTCAAAGGATGTTCACAACAATGAGGATGGAGTCTGGGTCCTCAACAACATACTTGCTCTCTTCAACTTCATGTCTTCCCATCAGTCATGCCAAACCCATGAGTAATCAGTCACTTGATGCCTCCTTCAGAAGTTCTGCCAGGAAACTCTGTGTCTGCAACACACTTTGTTCTGTTTGAAGCACTAACAAGGCTTCTTAACAATTACAGCCCTGTTTTACAAGTGTGAATGTCTCGACTTGTGAACTTTCAGGAGACCTTCAGGGAAATTTTAATTGCCCTCGAACAACTACCTAGTTCAGTGCCCTGCGTTGTGCACGTTTGATATTAAGTGATCAAATATGAACCCTGAACCCCGGGAGGTCACAGAATCCCTTGATTTGGGATCAGGTGTAGAGAGATGTTCAATTATTAAATAATTAGTTTGGAAACAATAACTAGTGTAGTCGAATTCTCTTGCTGATTTCCTAATGTTTATTAATTTAAGCACCTGTGTCTTTCCGTAACGCTTTCCTGCAGAATGCTTACCAGGATATGCATAAGATGTAAATTTGCAATGAATATAATTACCTTTCCAGAGCTCACTCCAGGTGCCTAAGTGAGTAGAAATGAATTATGACTTTAATTGTCAGAAAGGTTTCAATATTCTGAATCTAATTACATAAATTTTGTTTAAATTTCTAGCTATGCAATAATATGTTGGTGTTACTTAAAACACCCAAATATGACATTTTTTTTAGGAACACCAAATGTTTCATTAAAGAAGATTCAGAGAAATAATTATGTTGTGAAAAGAAGCAGTTGTCTTAGCATACATAATTTGTTCTCAGAATATTTCAAGGATGATTGAAGTTGTAGATATATTTTCTAGTCTCAGAAAAGTCCCTCATTTTTTTCTTTGACCTTCCTCATTTTTTTTTGGCGGGGGGGGGGGGGGAGAGAAAGAACATTCATCTTTGCAGAGAAACATCCCATTGACACTTCAAATTCATGTTCAAAATGAAACTCATTATCTTTCTCTAAAACTATTTTGATTTCCCAACGATATTTCTTAACTTGATAATACTAGTAGCTTCACCATTACCCATCTTAACTAAATCAGAATTTGGAAGGAAATCATTCTAGATTTCTCAATCTCCCTTAAGCTCCACATCTATTAGTTACTTCATTCTCATCATTTTTTCTCAAATATTTTATCAAATTCTCAATGTTATTGCTTCAGACTCTTATTTGGCTTAGTCTATCCCAGGAGAGTTTCCCAAGGAATTATCTCACCAGGACCCCTGCCTCCAGCACTGGGCTGTGACCTTCAGGCCATCCTCTGTGCATCAGTGTTGTTTTCAGAAGTGTAATTTGGAGTGAGAGAAAGAGGAAAGAGCATGTTCCAAATATGGGTTACTAGTGAGTCCAACCTAACAGGAATGAGAGATTATTTTGTTTATTTAGTTTTTATTTTAGTGAGATGAATGGAGAGAGAGAGAGGGAGAGAGAGAGGGAGAGATATGAGAACAAACTGATCAGTTGCCTCCTGTACAGGCCCTGACAGGGGACTGAACTCACAATATAAGTATGTGCCCTGACTGGGCATCAAACTGCCCCCTTTTGGTACACGGATAACACTCCAGCCAATAGATCCACAACGGCCATGATAAGAGATGACTTTAAAAAATTAAGGGAACATGTAGTGACATTTTGAAATTATTCCAGGGATCAACTATTTATATCCACATGTGTAAACTGAATAACTTTATCTGGATACTCACAATAGCAACAACAGGTAAAAGCTAATGTGTGCATCTTCCTGGCATTAAAATACCTAATTCATACATACATAGATATATGTATCCTAATACATATATATCCTAATTCTCATACAGAGACAGTAAGAGACATGCAATCTCACGGCAAAACTATGGGCAGGTCACACTTGATCATTCTTTCAGACTTCCTTCCTTGGCCTTCAGATCATAGTGGATCTTTGTGTAAGAATGTATATTCATGGAAGTGCCCTGTTAGCATAAGCTGGTTTGACAAAGACTCATTGAATTTCTCCTGAGTTTTGACCAACAGTAGAAAGAAAAAATGTGTAAAACGATCTTTTAAAAAGCCTAGTACTTGGATGGGAGATCGGCAGGGGGACCCCATTATGTGGTATCACATATATTATTACACTTGTAAGAGTGTGTGTGAAAGCGGCAGGAAATAAACAGCAGGATTGAACTCGGAATGAGGCTGCCTGCGCACAGCGTTTCAGAAAAACATAATCACAGCATCACTGAAGCATGAAGGTAGCCACGCGTGTTTGTAGCCGCGGTAATCAGTGTAATTGGCCTGCCATTTCCTCTGCTCACCCTCTTCCAGTTAGGACGTTTCGAAGCTTTTCTGCTGGGATGTACACTTAATGCCCGCTTGCTCCCTTCATGCTGGGAAAGCATGTTGCTTATCTGCTCTGTTCATAATGCTGCCATATCAGATGACATCGTTTTCAGAGGAGACACCACTATCAAACAGACGTACAGGCTTTCCATCAGAATAGAAAAGGCCCCTAAAATAAAGGGATGGGAAACTTTTTAAAAAATATATTTTATTGAGTTTTTACAGAGAGGAAGGGAGAGAGATAGAGAGCTAGAAACATCGATCAGCTGCCTCCTTCACATCCCCCACCGGGGATGCGCCCACAACCAAGGTACATGCCCTTGACTGGAATCAAACCTGGGACCCTTCAGTCCACAGGCAGACACTCTATCCACTGAGCCAAACTGGTTTTGGTGGGAAACTTGTTTTTATTGGTGTTATTCTTTGTTTCAGCAAGGCTCCCTTGTAGATAGCCACCTGCGTAGCTCACTTGGCTTGGGCACCTTGGCCATCTCCAACAGCACCTGTGTGCTGGCCAGAAACCCCACACAAGGATGGAAGACGGGGATAAGCAAATGAAAGAGTACTTACAAATGGCTAGGGTTAACCAGGGAGAACTCTAAGGTAGGCTATCTCAAACGTACCTCTTTATTTCACCAAAGAAGGCAAATGCAGCCACGATAGAACTACTATTTTGCTTTTGCTAAAAAGATCATATAGCCGAAACCGGTTTGGCTCAGTGGATAGAGCATCGGCCTGCAGACTGAAAGGTCCCAGGTTTGATTCTGGTCAAGGGCATGTACCTTGGTTGCAGGGCACATCCCCAGTAGTGGGTGTGCAAGAGGCAGCTGGTCGATGATTCTCTTTCATCGATATTTCTAACTCTCTATCCCTCTCTCTTCCTCTCTGTAAAAACTCAATAATATATATATATATATATATATATATATATATATATATATATATATATATATATAAATAAAATAAAATAGGTCATATGTAGTAGATTTACAAAGATGAATGGGCACGTTCTACCGCTCTCGGGAGCATGCCCACATCTCTCCCCTCCCCTCTTCTCCCCCTGGGTATATTACCTTTCCTTTCTCTCTCCTAAGCACCAAGGGCCCTTCTTTTGCCTCCGCAACTTACTTCCTGAGCCACGCAGCCCAGCTTCTCTACCTCTGTGACTTTCTAAATAAACTTGCCCTTATAGTATGAAAAAAGGTGATTGATTTAATATATCCAATAGTAACTGATAGCCTTGACAATAAAATAATACCCTTTCTATGAAACTCAACTATTCACATTTAAAAAAAATTATTAAATAAAATGCTAAATAGTAAAATGCTACCATGGACTTTTTAAAGAAAAAAACAGGTGCGTATTTATAATATGATATCTGATGATAATGAAACATTGATCTTTGTGTATTTAGCAAAAGTATAACTTTTTATAAAAAATTATCATGTACATAGGAAGATTGTGTCTGTCTTAACTAGCTCCTGGGGTATAAGGAAATACCACCCATCCACTGTTTTAGAATTTAAGTTCTATATATCCATATAATTTGATAAACAGATAACATTAGATATTAGCTAAGATGCTGAAGCTGTATTTTGATCTTCTCTTTAGTGTATGGTTGTTGTTAGAATTAATAATTTTGAAACTACTTTCATTCACAATCTATACCAGGCAGGATGTTATATTATGCAAAATTTTGTTGTCATACCTATATGAGTGTCCCATTATATTATAGTTACTCTCATTATTGATTCTCAAAATCTATGTTCAGCCAGTGTGTATATACTCAAATTGGCTCCTTTGTCCTTTGACAAGACTCAGTAATTTTCAATAGTTTCCTTACTCTGTGATATGATAAGATGACCCACGTTGTGTCCTGAACATATTTTGTCCCCAACCACCAGTCAGTTAATTCTCCAAGGAGTCCTTGTTCTTTTCAGTGGGATATGGTATTTAGAGGCTGATGGGTATCTGAGTACTAATATGGTATCGTTACTGGGTTAGTCACAAATGTTTTAAGTCTGTGTACAGTGGACCACTCTAGGAGATGCATAATGTAAATACACAGAAAGTATATACTGATATTCCAATTCAAAGTCAAGATATAATTATTGAATAACTTCATCAAGCTTAAATCTTTATCTACTTTCCTCCTCAATGAAAACTTGATTCTCAAATATTTTTATCAATTTTCTCATTTAATGATTTCAGAGAGGAAGAGAGGAGGAGAGAGAGAGAAACATCAATGAGAGAATCATTGGTCAGCTGCCTCCTGCATGCCCCCCACTGGGGATCAAGCCTGCCACCCAGGCATATGCCCTTGACTGGAATTTATCCAGGGACCCTTCAGTCCACAGACCTACGCTCTATCCACTGAGCCAAACCAGTCAGGGTTAGTCATTTACTTTTGATACACATGCCACTCACAAGTTACTAACACACATTAGTAGTAATACAAACATTACCACCAATAACTAGTATTGAAAGCTGTTTTAATTCTAAAGTTTATCAGTAGTTTTATCACATTAGGGATGTGCAGCCTTTGAAAATCATAGAAAATATTTCCTTCTCTGTGTGATTGTATTAACAATTAGATACAAAAATTTTCTTTTTAATTTGATGTTCAATGTCAAGAATTTATCCTTGAAATTTAAATTTTGTTTAATTTAATGGATGGTATATTTACCTGGTCCCAGGGTCTCTATAAACTAAGATGTATTCAAAGAGATATAGTTTCTATCTCTATCTTCACACTATTCATCCTTCTATGAATAATACTATAGCTTAAATTTCAGTTCAGCTTAGTTTAAGATAAGTTTAATTTAGAATAAAATTAAGCTAACTTAGCTTTAAATCTAAGTTTATATTTAGTTAAAAAGTATATAACTAAAAATGGTTGTATGTGTACATATACACACAGCTGTTAGTATCTTCTTCTCAGCTAAACTGTAACATATGAGGGTTATTTCCACCTTCCTTTTGTAATTTAACATTTTCTAAATATCATCACTATAGTATAGGAAGATATTCATCATTTCTTTAATTCCAGGTGCATGATAATTCATTCCAAATATGTATCGAGATGAATTTAAGAAGATCTTTGCAAATGATCATTGAAAGTAGCTTCTAGTTTTATTGCTGTTAGAAAAATTCTTTAATAAATCACCTTGCACATTTGCCTGTTTAAGTTTTCCCCCCCAGCGTGGTATTATATGAGATTCCTTGAAGTGGGATTATTGGGGCAAATGGGAAATCTGTGCGTGATTTTGTTCAGTCTTGCCAATTCCCCTTCCTGGGGGTAGTATCATTTTACTTTCTCTCTAGTGGTGTGTTAACATGCCTCCATTACCATAGCTGCCAACAGAGCAAGATGTCAAAATTTTACCACACATATTATAGATGAGAAACGGCACCTCAGTGTGGTTTTTAAATTCTATTTATATTATCATGAGAGAGTTGAGCATTTTTCACAAGGTAATAGATCCCTTGCATTTATTTCTTTTCTATCAACTTTCTTTTATATCTTTAGACCCATTTTTCTCTGGATTTCCTAGCTGCTTTCTTCCCCCTTAGACGTGCTTTTTAGATTAAGAATTTGAATTCTGTGTGGCAAATAATTTTCTGAGATTGTCATTTTTTTTGTTTGTTTCTTAGTGTCTTGTGGTACATAACCAAAAAAAAAAAAAGATTACCAACATTCTGTAGGTATGAGAACTGTTAATCATATCAGCACTCTAGATGTAACCTAAATAATATCCCTATAAATTTAATCAAGGAAATGAAGATGGATGAAACTCCACAAGGCAAACTACACAGTTTCAGAAACAAGCAAAAATGGTTCAAGAAAAACATGTAAAGAAAAGGGGAGCCTATTGAAGGAGTAGTTGCCTTCTACGGGACTGTCTGGTAGGAAATAAGGAAAAGCTTAGGGGGCTTGGAGCACAGAGAGACACCTCAGGCCCATGTCAGGCAGAGGGTGAAGGTGGCTTACCTCTGTGTCCATTGATTTGGGACTTCTGGTCATTGGTTAGGGTTGGCTGAGGTCTGGAGCCAGCTGGAACCTGAAATTTAGAGGCATTAGTAGAAGCCTTTCTGAGGATCTAAATATCAGTCCATTACTCCTTGACTTTCCTGCCGTCTGTGTGAACACTGTTTGTGAACGTGTGATTTTGCACAGGTTCAACCCATGTCTATGAAACATTTCACATCCTTATTGCAAGCAAACCAAGTCTATAGATAAATGAAGGTGCAATCTCTTTGGGATGTTGGCCTCAAGTTCCGGAATTGGGCAGGCTCTGGCCTCCAGATAGCATGTTCCTAGTCTTGTATCCAATTCCAGTTTGTATTTCCCCCCAAATTCTGCACATTCCTCCCCACCTGGATATAATCATTTGATTAAATTAAACTCAAAAAATGACTATACTAGTAATTCACATCATACTTTGCCCGTTACTAAAGCTCTGGAATGTTTCCCAAAGCGATCACCAAACTCAAAGACTGGCTGAGTAAAAGACGGTGGCAGTTGCTTATTGTGTCCTCTGCAGTATTAAAAATATGTCCTCTTCAGTATTACAAAAAAGATTATGTGACCAGAAAAAAGAAGCACAGCTGGTGTGACTCAGTGGTTGAACATCGACCTATGAAACAAGAGGCCAAGAATCAATTCCTAGTCAGGGCACATCCCCGGGTTGTGGGCTCCGTACGGGATGTGCAGGCGGAAGCCGATCAATGATTCTCTCACCATTGATGTTTCTATCTCTCTCTCCCTTCCTCTCTGAAATCAATAAAAATGTTTTTTAAAAGAAAAAAAGTACAATTCTTTGTTCTTAATGTCTACCACAGACATTAATGCCCCTGTTGCCTTACTAATGACTACATATTTTTACAACAAAATATGAACTGTCTTTCCAAAAGAAGTGGACAGAGAAATCAGGAATTAGGCAGTTCACCCTCTCTCACTTCCCCTTTTATAAATTTTTTTTTTTTTTTTTACAGAGAGGAAGGGAGAGGGGTAGAGAGCTAGAAACATAGCTGCCTCCTGCACACCCCTCACTGGGGATATGCCTGCAACCAAGATACATGCCCTTCACCGGAATTGAACCTGGGACCTTTCAGTCCATAGGTCAATGCTCTATCCACTGAGCCAAACCAGTTAGGGCTCACCTCCCAGTTTTTAACTGTAGTACTACTGAACATGATGCACAGCCCCTGCTTAGATGGACCGATTTTGTGATTATTGAATTTAACAAGAACAAGATAAAAATTTCTCTTACCTGGCATATGATTCTAAAGACATGCAAAAATAAGTATGTCTCAGATAAATTATTCTGTAGATTATGAAAGAATTCTAAATATGGAGCAAAATGTTCTGCTCTTAATTTGTTTTTTGTAGGGGGAAATCAATAATACCTTTTAAATATATCACAGAAAAAAAGGGAGTATTATACGGGATACAAAAAGCTTCGTATTACAGCCCAGCTAATGGCCATAACTGTACATGCTATTAGAAAATGCACATATTATGTTAAACTAAGTCTCACAAGCTCTGGGTTTGCTCTGGGCAATGGAAAGAGGATTTCCTAGCTGCTTCCCTAAGGGAGCTGGGCGGGGGCTCTCTCACCCAGGCCTGCTCCTCACATCCATCATTTCAAAGAGACATAGATCGCCTCCAAAGTGCTTTAAGGCAGCTGCAAGTAAGTGTCACTTTGAGTTAAATGCATTATTAAACTGTTGGAAATTTCACATCATGGGTCATTTATCTATGCTA